CCCCAAAACCCCAAAACCCCAAAACCCCAAAACCCCGGTCCTAATATTTTTAATTGAATATTATAATGATTTTTGCCTATTTTTCAAAATGGGAGAATTCTAAACATTTCTTTTGAAATAAGGATCATCTGAAGCAGCATTAATATGAGATTCTTGGCTCTGAGTGTAACTTCCTGTATAACCATCCTCCTCCTCATTATCTCTTTCCTAAACTCTTAACCCTTTCATTTACCTGGAGAAGTCGTGGAGGTTTATACTCGTCTTCACTTTTACTCTCACTAGCTTCATCAATTCTGTCACTAGCATAATCCTTATTCTCAACGAATGAGGCATCAGTTTCCTAAATAGTCACACTAACATCTTACAGTTGAGTTCCCTTGGTACACCTCTATCAACCGGATGTACTTCCATGAATAAGGAAACAAGCCATAAATTGCATAAGAAACCAAAATATTCGGAAGTATCTTCCTTAAGCAATAATCTGTTAAATAATTATCAACAGGGATCAAGCTTGATAGAAAGTTTAGCCCGTACATAAGCCCGAGCCCTAAGATCGTCCTAATGACCCTATTTTTGCGTAGGTGTATCCTGTGAAAGGTACCCCTCAATATTGGAAGAAGCAAATCAGGCTCCAAAAGTAGCTCCGATTAGAGTGAATATTTTTGATAAATCAAAGAAAGTATAATCCATTCCTAACTTATAGTTGAACTTCTTATGCTTCAAAGAGTTAGATCTTAGGTACGAAGACTCAATCTCTAAGTCATCAATAGAGAGCTTATAGTAAACCAAAATCACCAGAAATGCTCCAATACATGAGAATAGTAAGGTGAACTTATTTACGCCTTGATTGGAAATTATCGAAGCACAAGGAAGTGCAGTACCTTTGAATAATTTTATCAAGCCGGATGAAGGTTACAACTATCAAGATGCAGTAAATAATCCCAGCAAAGCATTCAAAGATGAAAGTTTGTGCTAGATAAAATAGAGAGAAACCTGTCAAGAATATGAAGATATATATCAAAATCAGTAAACCTGTGATGAGGCAAAGACTCTTCTCCTCAGCATATTTGTAGAAGAATATTATGGCTATGTAGGTATAGAACTGAGCTCCAACTCAGATATGGTCTGAGGGGCCTGAGTAATCGAGAGAGCAAAAGTGTACATTCATTTTATCCTCAATCCAGCAAGGTCTGGGGGATGTTGAGATGAGTTTTAATATTGCAACAAAAAATATCTGAATTTCCATGAGAAAAGTTGATTTGTACGCCAATAATGGGTCTGAGAATAAGTAAATTGCAACAAGAGCATACTCAATAAAATTCAGATCTGTAAAAACAAGGACCCATGAGCATATGATCTCAAGAACATGGTTGTGGCTACTATACCCTCTCAATGCATATATCAGACTAATTTCATAATCAGACATAGATTCTTTCAATATCAGTCCAAAAATCATCACCAAAATTGCAACAAGCGCTAAACAATCACATCCACTCTTACCTATCTTCATCCCATCAATCTGTACCGAGTACTCTTCCCTCCTCTCATGCTCATTTCTCTCTACACCCAAAACTCAACTCAAACTTATCAAAATCTAGAAATCCAAAAACCTCCCAAAACTACACAGCCCTTAGAACTCTTAAAATCAATCCTACCTTCGCTAACTTCATCCTCACTGCTAGTTGAGCTATCATTATTATAGAGCTTTAGAGGACTTATAAGTCTTTTGGTCTGAGAAGGATTCACTGCTAAGGATTTCCTCCTTTCTACAGTGGCTATATTCTTTTGAGACATTTCTATTTATATTAATTTTTCGGGGTTTTGGGGTTTTGGGGTTTTGGGGTTTTGGGG